GTCCCTGGCACTGCTGAGGCTGCAGCTCCAGCACTGGGGGCAGTTCTGGGCCCCTCACTGCAGGGAGGACATGGAGAGGCTGGAGCAGGTCCAGAGGAGCTACCAAGGTGGGGAAAGGTCTGGAGAACAAATCCTGTGAGGAGAGGCTGAGGGAGCTGGGATGGTTTAGTTTGGAGAAGAGGAGGCTGAGGGGAGACCTCATTGCTCTCTACAGCTCCCTGAAAGGAGGTTGTAGGGAGGTGGGAGTTGGGCTCTTCTCCCCAGTGAGTAATGACCGTCCAGGTCCCTGTGGGTGGCAGCACGACCCTCTGGTGCACCAGCTGCTCCTTCCAGCTTGGTGTCACCTGCCAACTTGCTGAGGGTGCACCCCAGCCCACCATCCACATCACTAATGAAGGTGCTCATCACAAGCCAGCATCACCCCCTGCACTCCACTGCTAGTTCCTGGCCTCCCACCAGACCTCATGCCACTGCTGACCACCCCTGGGTGCCCATGGTTGATGCCCTGGGGGCTGGATGGGCTGCCCCACACACCAACCCCCACCCCAGGCAGCCTCTACCTGCGATGGCGTGTGGGTCTGCTGAGTACTCTTGCACATCCACCACGCAGCAGTCCAGGGCAGCCTTCAGCTTCTTCAGCTTGGAGGCCGAGGGAGCCACTCGGAACAGACCCTTAACACAGGAGAGAGTCGGACAATCGTCAGCGCTGGAGGTGTCCCCAGAGCCTCCCTGGTTCCCCCTCCTCGCCTTGGAGGCACCCGTGTCCCCTTCCATGGAGCCCTGGTAGGTGTGCAGGTTTGGTTTGGTGGGATTTTTGGTCGTGGGGGAAGAGCCCCAGGGGGGCTCTGGTGAGAAGCTGAGAAGCTGCCCCTGCCCCAAACCAGCCGAGGAGCCTTTAGGGGGACAAGAGAGGAACCTCTGCCAGTAACACAGGAAAGGCCTGAGAGCAGAGCTGGGCAGAGCGAGCAGAAGGAGCTGGGCTGGAGAGGCAGAGGGTGCTGGTTGATGAGGAAGAAGGGGAAGAAGGGGCCCAAGCAGAAGTTTCCCTGCCAACCATGGGGAGATGGCAGCTGTGCCCCAGCATCCATGGAGGAACATGGTGGGACATTCCCTGAAGGGTCCCAGGAGGGGTGAACTTGGCCAAAGGACTTGGATTGTGTGGCCAGAGGATTTGCTGCCAGTGGACTCTGATTGTGCAGCTTTGGAAGCCCCCGGGCCAGGGGAGTTGGCAGATCCTGAAGCAGCTCCTGACTCTTGTCAGCTTGATCCAGACCTGGTGGGAAGGACTCATGGAGGAGAAGTTTGGGAAGGACTCTCTGCCAGGGCAGGGACCCGTGGGGCAGCAGGGCAGGGCTGGGAGGAACCACCAGCCTGTGCAGGGACTGCAAACCCCATCCCCTGTGCCTGGGGGGAAGGAGGGAGAGAAATGGGGAACAAAGGGGTTTGGGGGGAAGAAGGGAGGGGTGGGGTGAGGTGTGTGAGCCCTGCTCTGGGTGTCTGTGTCCTGGGGGCACTGGAGCAGGGTGACATTACTATTGTTTTCCCCGAGTCGAGTCTGTTTTGCCACTGAATGTACTGGGTGAAGAGCCCTCCTTGTCCTTTGTCTCAACCCATGAGCTTCTGTTTGGGTTTGTCCTCCCCATCCCAGGGTGTGTTGAGGGAGTTGAGTGAGCGGCCCCAGGGCTGGTTCCTTGTTGTCCTGTTGGGCCCAAAGCAGGGCAGCAGGACAGGGGACCCACCTCCTCCTGCATGCCACACTCCAGCAGCATGGTGACACAGGCCTCCACGGGGAAGGCGATGTCCCGCCCGCTCACTGCCAGGTGCTCCTCCAGGGGCTTCCCGAAGGAGGGCTTCTCCATCCACGCCTCTGCGGGGGGTGGAGAGGGGAGAGGAGGGTGAGGAGATGGTGGGGACGGTGCCAGACCCAGCAGCCCCTCCCCAAAAGGCCCTTGGATCACAGCGTTTTGGCAGCAAAATATTCCACTTGGGTGTTGCCAAAAAACAGGGTCCTGCCCTTCTGCCCTGGGCAGCTCAGGTGCTTTTTAAAGATTAAATCCAAACAAAATGTTTTCCAGTCATCACAGGGGACATTTCAAAGGGACTGGATAACATTTTCCTGGGGAAACAATTACACTTTGCAATATATTCCCCCTTCTTCCATCAAAATTTAAGGCAGGAATATTCTGTGGGATTAAGATAAATAAATGCAGTCCAAATCACTTCCTGCTCTGCTGCCTGAGGGGCAGCATCTGACCCTGGCCCAGGGGGTCACCACCAGGCTCTCCACACCTTGTTCACCCAGTCCAGACCCACAAAGCCAAGCCCCAAGACCCCCCCACCCCACCCTGGCACTGGGCTCCCACCTCCACTGCTGTGCTCCAGGGGGATATTCTGGCAGGTTTTCCACCCCCCTGCCATGAAACTGGCCAAATCCTGCCCCCAGGACCAGGTGGGATGGGGATGCCCTTCCAGCAGGCAGGACACAGATGGAGCGAGCAAAAGGAGGATGCTCAGCCCAGGCACTGTGGCACATGGAGGGGTCACACTGTGGGGACACACCCTGGTACACCACAGGGTCACACCACAGGACACACCACAGGGACACACCATGGGGACACACCCTGGCACACCACGGGGTCACACCACAGCCAGCCCACGGCCGCAGGGATGCGCAGCTCTGTCGTGACACGGAGCCCTTGGTGTGACATGCAGGAGCAGGACAGGCCCCACACACACTTACCCTGCTGGGCTTTAATTTGAGGCAGGACATTCTGCAGAAGCGCTAAGGATTTCCGATGGAACTCTGCCTGCACCTCGATCAGCTGGGGGTAGAGATGGCACCTCTTGTCACCCCTATGGCTGGGGATGGGGATGAAGGGTCCCATGGGGATGGGTGGCACTTACTGTTTGAAAATAGTTTGCATAGTCTACTTCTTTGGCCACAAAATTGTACATGTCAGCTGAGAGCTGGTCCTGTGGAGAGCAGAGAGTAAGTTGCTGCCCTACTGGAGCTGCCCTGATGCCACCATGATGGCCCATTTGGAGACCACTGGGAGGGACAGCTCAATCAATGTGCAATGTGGAGGTTGCAGAACGCACTCAAGATCATAGAACCACAGAATCATGGAATGGTTTGAATGGGAAGGGACCTTAAAGCTCATCTAGTTCCAACCCTCCTGCATGAGCAGGGACACCTCCCACCAGCCCAGGTTGCTCCAAGCCCCATCCAACCTGCCCTTCAGCACTTCCAGGGATGGGGCAGCCACAGCTTCCCTGGGCAGCCTGGGCCAGGCTTTCACCACTCTCACAGGAAATATTTTCTTCCTAAGATCTCATCTAAATCTTCCCTCTTCCAATTTAAGTCCATTCCCCCTCATCCCATCCCTCCCTGCCCTTGTCCCAAGCCCCTCCCCAGCTTTCCTGGAGCCCCTTCAGGCACTGGAAGCTGCTCTAAGGTCTCCCTGGAGCCTTCTCTTCTCCAGGCTGAACACCCCAACTCTCCCAGCCTGGCTCCAGAGCAGAGCTGCTCCAGCCCTCCTCTCAGGAGATGTGCTTGGGATGTTCAACACAGGGCAGTAGCCCAGGGATTTACTTTCTGCTGCCCTGCCAACACCTCCCCCCTCTTCCCCCTCCTTCCAGATCCCACAATTAACCAGCGCCTGTGAGCTCTCTGGAAGCCAGAGTCATTTGGTGGCACCCTTAGCTGACAGCCACATGTCCCGGTGGACTGAGTAGCACAAATTCAACCCCAAGTTTGCTCAACCCAGCACCTTGCTCCTGGTGTTCAAGTGGCTAGTTAACCACAGGGCTAATTGCAGTACCCATGGCTCCTGGGTAGCACCCAACCGCTTGGCGTGGACCAGCCTCATGGGGCATCAGGTGCTTCCTGCTCTGAATCGTGATGATGAGCCCCTCAGCACCAGGACATGTGTCTCTGTCCTCACCCTTGCAAAATAAGACACTGCCACTTCCTGACTTGCTCCTTTCTGAGAATCCCCTTGGATAACTCAACTGGTGGAAAAGCCATCAAACACTAGGAGCAGGTCCCAGCTGCAACATCCCCTGTCATTGAGGGGAATAAACTGGGGTCAGCCCCAGGCTGAGCTGGCTTGCTGGAAAGTGCTGGGCACATGGGGCTGTGATGGTCTGAGATAGAAGGAAACAGCCTGAGTTGGGGATTTAAAAGCTGCATGGGTTCTGGTTGTGGCTCTGGAGAAAAGAGCTGGGATTTGAGACATGCACTCAGCTCCACCTGCTGCTCCAAACTCCCAGCACCCTGCTTGCCCAGCCCTTTGCACTTTCTGCCCTGGGGGAATTTAAGGCCACACAAATTCTCCTGTGGATTTTTATGGCTGAATCCCACAGCCTATGACAAATATTCCAGCAGCAGCATCACCTCTCCCACCTGACAGGACAAGCTGGGTGGGCCATGCTCACGAGGAATGAAGGGGGACGTGGCTGGGTGACCTGCAAGGACTTGGCACATGCCAGCACTTCCTGTAGGTCTCTGTGCCAGGCTTGGGTGTACTCAGTGCTGAGCTCACCAACTCCTGCTGGGATAGGTCCCCTGAGAATGCTTTACAGCTCCAGTGGGATATGGAGGATGGGGACAGAGGAACCAGTGACGTTCTGCTCAGCTGGTGAGCATCACCCAGTGCCACCATGCTGTGGCAGGGCATGGGGACCAGATGGAGGAGGGTTTATCATGGGTAGTGGGGTAAGAATAGGGTGAAGGACAGGGTAAGAGGAGAGGCTGAAGGGTTCTGGAGGTGCCTGGGGTGCCAAGGTGCCCCCAGCCCAGCAACGAGTGCTCCCCCTGGGTACCCTGCAGATCTCCACTCTGTTGGCCGCCTCCTCCATCTCCTCCCTGAGAGCGTCAGCTTTGGCACCCGAGGGCTGCAAGTTGCTGGACAGGCCTGAGGACTTCACTGACTGCTGCCACCTGCAGAGAGGGGACAGAGCTGTCATGGGGGATGGGGACCACTGGATCTCAGCAGGCTTGGAGGACATGCCAGGGAACCCCCTTGGCCAAAGTCACCATGGTCCCCAGGGCTGAGCACCACAGAAATGGTCCCAACCCAGGCTGGGATGCAGGATCCACTCCCAACCCAAGCATCCCCAGCCCCCACAGCAGACTGCATGCATTGGGCTCTAATTAAGCAACTGTTTCCAGCAGGAGAATGAGCCTCATCCAGGAAGGAGGAGAGAGAAAGGCAATGGGAGAGCCTGGACATGACAGTGGGGACTAGGGACACTTCCCAGACCTTTCCCAGAATGCATTGTGATGTGAAGGGCTTGGACAACCCAACAGCTCTGGGCAAAACTCAAAGTGAAGGGTCCCATTGCAGCATCTGGGACACAGGACAATGCCAAGGGACCTGCCAGCTCCAACCAGCATACTCTACACTGGGAGGAGCACCGAGTTCTTTGCCATCCTGTAGGAACTCATCAAGATACAGAAAAGAGGGAAAAAAATAAGATTTGTGCCAGAAAAATGTATTCTTTTCTGCAGAGGGCAGGCAAGGAAAAGGGATCTATGGATTCTGCTGACAAGAGCAGAAATCTCAGCTGGTTGCAGAGCTGACTTCAAGGCACATGGTGACACAGCCAAGACTTACTGTCCCAAGGGAGCTGTGGTACCAAGGCTCTGGGATGTGCCCTTCCCTGCACCACCCATTGCTTAGGAATTTTGATGTTTTATAAAGCAGCTTTGAAGCTGCTTCTTACCTTGTCCTGGAGGAGTCCATGTCCAGCACGAGCTTCGCCAAGTGCTTCCTCTGCTTTTGGATATTTGGGATTTCCACCTGCAGCCACACATGGGAATGGGAGGAGATAAACACCCTGGAGAGGTGTTTGGGGTAGGTTATACCTGGCTACAACCTGGGAATTTGGGCTGGTGCAAGCAGAGTGGATAAAGGCCCAGCTCCTTATTTAAACATCTTTAGGGAGATGGCACAGCTTGTTCCTACTCAGTGTCCCCACTTGGGCTGTGCCACTCCTCAGCTGCAGAACCCACATCCCAGGGAGGAGCATTCCTGGGAAAGCAAAGTGGGGATGAAGGCAGGGAAAGGGCTTTTGGGGATGGGAAAGCAAATCCTCCCAGCCACCAGCACCACTTGCTGAAGGATTTGGTAATGGTTGAAAGCCCCAAACACCAGCAGTGGGAAAAAGCCCTGTTTTTTGCTGGGGAAGATCAAACCAGAACCAAGTCCAGGACATTTTGTAAGATGTAAAAGGGGGAAAAGCAGCATTGGGTGAAACTGAGAAACAAAGTTGGCCAAAAAAAAATATCTCCAACCACAATTTTATGTGTTTGAGGCTTGGAAAAATGGGTTAGAAATAAGACTGTTGATGCCTCTGCCATCAGAGGAGGCAGAGAAGAGCAGCAGCCTGACAGGGACCACAGCCCCAGCAGCTGGTCCAGCCCAACCATGCCTGTAATTACAGCAATTAGCAAACACCTCCAAGGGGGAAGAACTCTGGCAGGGGCCAGGAACCACATATGCCACCAATGCTTAGGATGCAGGTTCCCAGCATGGCGACATCCTTACCTGAGGCCATCCCATCCCTGCTTGCCACTCACCTCAGCCAGCACGAAGAGGGGCTCGATGACATCCCTCTCCACTTGCAGCTCAAAGTGGATGAGCTCTTGAGCCAGCCTGTCCTCGGCCTCCCCGCACAGCCGCAGCATCTTCCTGCAAGGGCACGGGCAGGGCTGGGCACGGCGGGGCCGCGGGCAGCCACCCTGCACCCTGGGGAATGGGCACCCAAAGGACAGGGGGTCCCTGGCAGAGGGCTGGAGGGGGGGACAAAGGGCACCCCGGGTATTAAGTGAAATCTCATTCCTTGGCTATTGTGCCAACTATCATCACATCCCAGACTGGTTTGGGTGAGAAAGGACCTTGAAGACCATCCAGTCCCACCCCTGCATGGGCAGGGACACCTCCCACCAGCCCAGGCTGCTCCAAGCCCCATCCAACCTGCCCTTCAACACTGCCAGGGATGGGGCAGGCACAGCTTCCCTGGGCAACCTGGGCCAGGGTCTCACCAGTGACACAGCAAAGGATTTCTCCCTAGTGTCTAACCTCAATATCCCCTCTTCCAGTTTTAAGCTGTCACCCCTCATCCGATCACACCAAGGCCTTGTCCCAAGCCCCTTCCCAGCATTCCTGGAGCCCCTTCATGTACGGGAAGGTGCTCTAAGGTCTCCCTTATACTCTGAACTTGCATGGGCTTTCTTAAGATATAATATAGAGTTTCCATTGTGCCCTGCATGACTGAAGGACCTCAGCTCATGACACAAGAAGAATAAAGGAAACCCCTCACAAGAGCCCAGCATCTGACACTCCCCGTGACCAGCACCGGGCAGCACCCCGAGGCAGGGCCCCTTACCCCAGTAGGGAGTCC